TATATGTGTGTGCTTAACATAAACCATACACATTAATTCATTTGTCGCCTAGTGTGACTAGCATACAGATTCCCTTTTAAAAAAAACACGTAATCTCCACCTGCTGATTAAAACTGCGATTTATTTATTTATTTATTTTTAAATTAAGAGGACATTTTAACACTAATTTATATATCATTCATTGAATCCCTTTCAACATTTTATCCTGGTACAACTTTCTCACTGTGAAACACAAAAACTGTCACGGATCACAAACCAGGCCAGCAAAATAATCGGTTCACCTCAAACCTCCTTTTCCAAACTGCGCAGCTGCTTCTTTATCAGGAAGCCTGAAGAAAAAGGAAGCCTCCCTTCCACCATTCATTCCATCTGCTGCTGTCAGGCATAAAGTTTAAAGTCCTTCTAGGGTCACTCACTCACTGCCTCAGTAAAGCCCTACACCATTTTATTATCTAAAAATAATATGTCTGTATGCAAAAAAGATCAGTACTGCCCTACTCTAGTCTTTTACTCTAATCGCAAATGTTTTACRCAACGTGCAGTGACTTGTCAATAAACTGAGGTGGGGTGTCCCACCCTGTCCTCCCCTCTGTCTCTAGGTCTATGCTCAGCTCACTTTGTCACAGCTGATAACTACTGGTAACCATTTGACAGAACATAATTTCAAAAATAACCTGTCTTTAAAAGTTAGCACACAGTTAACATATAAGCTATTACACCCAAATGAATAAAGCACAGTAGTCAGAGAGAGAGAGCTATTTTATAATGAACAGTAACCATCTCAGTTATAAACCTTACTGCTTTTCTGTTTTTCCACAGTTCAAAATTCAGCAGTAAGATAAAATATGTGAACAGCCTGAAGGAGCTCGGAGAACTAATTCCAATGGAGTATGTCCACATTCCTCCCAGCATCATTAAGTAAGTCAGTCTCTGTCATTGTGTGAAACTGTCCTTTGACGTTTAGTCCACATCAGCCTGTTTCCAGCTTCTGTCAGACAAAAATTATACAAAAGGTTGATACACAGTTGTTAATAAATGTCAACTTTTTGGGTCTACTTTTRTGATTATTTTGAACAGTTCATAAATTATGCCCAACTACACAGCAGCTTTGCTTTAACTGGTTATCTGCCTGTAAAGACTAATAACTGATTAATAAAATGACTGATTTTTACATTCACAAAATCTGTACTGTACAAACTTTTACTTGTCTTGTTGGCAGAGCGTGATTAATTTATAATTTCTTTTATCTTTATAGATTTTTGTTTAGTTTTAACTGTCTGTTAATTCTGGTTAATAATAAATACTGTGGTTTCTTCCTGCCATAATCATAATCCAGGAAATAAAATTACTTTTTAAAGCTTTCCTCTCAAGAAGTACCCTTTGAGCATGTTTTAAAAATTAGAAAACAAACTGTATCTTTATTTGAAGTATTTTAAGTTGTGCTATTTACTAATTTTTCACTTTTCCCTAAGGTTTGACAAAGAAAAAGGTTTATAAAAGTTTACCTGCATGAGGTAAATTGATTACCCTGCTTTTTTCACTCTAAAATGTCTTGGAACATTACTAAAAACTTCCTCATGCTCAGATTAACATTTAACCAACTCATTGCTGACTTATTATCCAAAAATAAAATTAGCCTGATGTTTTTTTTTCATTGCTCACAGTGGAAGGATGGGGAGGAGGAAAGAAACTGTACAGTTCAACTCCCAAAGCTATCGCTGACCTGATGTTCTGATCCAGTTCATAAAAGAACTAAAAACACAAGATCACAACCTTTCTGATGTTTGATTCAATTTTAATGACTCAGACAATAATTTGATCCCCAAACACAGAAGAAATTAAACAGATGCAACTCTCTTGTCTTTAGGTAACTTTGATCCCGATAAACCCATTTGTATTTAGTGTTTTTTTATGGGAGGCCTTAATTGCCTAATTTTTTGCATTTGTTCTGTTACAAAAGCAGGAATTCTTACTTTTATTTAATTTTTTTATCAGATTAAATTTTTATTTAATGGATTAAGTATGCTGGGCTCTTGAGGGGATGGACAGATTCCCCACCTGATTGTTACGTCTGTCCCCCTGTCTGTTTTTATATGATCTCATTTYAGGGGTGGAAAATTCTGTCTTTCATGTTTTACTTGTTTTTCTGCTCCAACACACCTGAATTYGTGACTGAATTACATCTTCAAGTTCTGCAGAAKCTGGKTAATTATCCATTCATTCAAATCAGGTGTGTGGAGCAAAGAAACWAATGAAACATGCAGGATAACCTCCCGCAAGGACAAAGTGTTCCCACCCCTYGTCTATATCCTCACATGATTGGTCAAGGCCAGCAAAAGGAGGAAAAAAATGGGAAGCCGTACTATAAAAATGTGCTGTAATCATGTTACTACAACATATCATGTTTGTTCAACATAATTATCTCATTAATACTTTACAGTATCATGTTAATACAATATAATATTGTACCAACGYAATATTCAAATTTTTATTTTTCTTCCGTGACATCAATACGCTTCTGTAGGAGAGTGGCTAAAGACAACAGCAGAGTGAGGAAATGTGGTCAGTTTGTCCTCCAGCAGCTTAAGCCTATAGCATCAGAACTAAGGAATAACTSAGGAAGTTGACCCTAATTATAGGATTTATCGCAAAGGAAAGTCTTCAGTCTAATCTTAAAAGTAGACAGAGTGTCAGCTTCACAGACAGAAGCTGGAAGTTGGTTCCACAAGAGAGGAGCTTGATAACTGAAAGCTCTGCCTCCCATTCTCTCTCTGGGAACTACAAGTAAACCTGCAGTCTGAGAGCAAAGTGCTCTGTTAGGAAAGTATGGAACAATAAGATTAATATAAGATAGAGCTTGGTTGTTAAGAGCTTTGTATGTTAGGAGTAATATTTTAAATTATATTCTGAATTTGACAGGGAGCCAGTGGAGAGAAGCTAAAACTGGAGAAATATGATCTCTCTTTCCAACTCTCATTAGAACTCTAGCAGCAGCTTTTGTTTTGGGTCAACTGAAGACTTCTTGAATAGTTTTTTTTTCTTCTTCTTCTTTTTTTTTTTTTTTTTTGGACACCCAGATAATAAAGAATTACAATTGACCAGCCTAGATGTGATAAATGCATGGATCAGTTTTTCTGCATCATTTTTGGACAAGATGTTTCGAATTTTAGGGAAATTATTCAGGTGGAAGAAAGCAGATCTGGTAACATTTGCAGCTGGATTTCCCCCAACAAACTTTTAGGATTAGTGTCATTAATTTTACACTCATCTTATTACAAAATTACTGTTAACATGTGTCTCTTGATTGATATTCATTTCAGAAATAACAACGTTAGTTCATGGCTGATCAGTTGAAATATACTGGCACTCAGCAGGGACAAAAAGGGGGTGTTTAAGGAAACGAGAGTCCCGATAATCTTTGTGTTGTTCTGATGGCGCTTGTTACCCAACTAAAGTTGCTCAATACACGAAATGACAGAAGGAAATCTGCAGCTCAGAGTTCACACATTCAAGTTCCTTTCATGGAAACTGTATGAAGCTGTTTTTTGAGTTTTTTTTTTTTTTTTTTTTTTGACAGGACACATATGGTCAGTCGAGATTTCAAAGAGGAAACAACCCTGTTTGTACAGAAGAAAACTGGATTGTTTTACTTGTTTTTTTTGAAAATGTTTTACTAGACTAAATCAATGTGTGAATCTTTTTGTGGTGTGACTGGTTGTAAAGGGTCAAAGCTTCTTATTAAGGTCTGGAAAAAGAACACCCGAGGCCATTTCTGTTATTTAAAGCAATTATTAGATTTTATTATTATTCTTATTATTTAGTGTGAGGCAGTGTTCTATGAGAAGGTTATGAGCAATACTTGTCTCACCATCTTTATGCTTTTTGAATCACTTCAAAGAGCTTACGGCTGGTTGGAGCAGAGCCAAGGCTAAAGTGAATCACTGCTGCTTAAAACAACTTTAATCTCAAAAAGGATATGATTAAATGCATTGCTTTCAGTTTTACATGACATAGTTATGGAAAAAAAAATAAGTACAATCTATTTCAATACCAGTGCTTAACACACAGCAGGGCATCAGGTTTTTACCAAGTTCTATAGTTATTTACATCAACAAGTGTACAAAAACACACAACAGATTCCAGAATTTCATTACTTGAACAACAACAAAGCCAAAATGGGAAATCTGACTGGAATCCATGAATCAACAGTTTATTGAATCTCATTTACCAGTAACAACTCTCAATAGCTGATTTCTGTATGACTTTATCAATCTTCTAAATTGTTTTAAAAGACATTTATTTCCCCACAGTACATATCAGTCAGGTTGTCTTGACTTTGACTAGAATAGTTTGGTCCTATCACACCAAGGACAATAACCAAACTGACTTATGGGGTGAATGGGTGTGTCAGTGACTTTAATAGCTTCTTGGTTCAAGTGGTCCAACAATGATTTATTAGGGTCTTGATGTACTCCTTCAAGGCCCTGTCACACTAGACAATTTATGCCAACTTATGAAGCATTTTTTATATCTAAATTGCTAATAACAGTTATATTTGATCAGTTTGTTCAAATTACRTTATGTACACACAAAAAGAAGCTTCTTGTMGATTTTTTCAATTCCATCTTCAATGWAGATGTCTTTAAAATGTTCATAAGTTGGCATWGGTTGTCGAGTGTGACAGGGCCTTTATGTCCACAAGRGTAAACTATTGAGACCCTATTGAATAGAAGGTAAATTAGAATCTAATTTTTAAACTATGGAGAACCTAGACACAGGAAAGACAACTCTATGCAGAAACACCTCCACAGCTGAGATAACTAATTCTTGAGCTTACGCTTCATCATCCAGTACACCATGGCTCTCAACATTTGAGTGTTTGTGCTTGCAGTCACTGAGAATACCTAAGAGCTTTGACGAAGGGTTAAATCTGTGGGAATTTTGTGCTCAAAACAATATTTGAAAAGGTATACACCTGTTCCAGAAGGACCATTTAAACATGTGGCCATAGACTATGTCGACATGATTAAGTCTGTTCAACACAAGCGTTGGTCAAATGGGTTGAAGCATTGACTTCTAAGGACATGAGTGCTGAAACAGTTGTGAAGTGGTAAGAGAGGTTATCAGACAAGGATAAATTCAGACAATGGTTCTGTGCTTGTCCACAAGGTTTTGAAAGGCATTTTTGCAGCAGTTGAGAAACAAACGGTGTTTATGAGCTGTTTAGCATCCACAGAGTCAAAGAGTTGTTGAAAGGGTTAAATCTAAGATCTGTGCTTCTACTAAACTTGACTACAGATTGAGCTGAACAGAAGGTAATTTGGAAGTGTAGAAGTGAATTTAAAAAGGATATTTTTAAAAGGATATTTGTAGCATCCTATGTGTTGTAAGTGCACCCGTATGACCTTTAACACCCTCACCTTAAAGCACGAGCATACGTTTTTCTTTGCATGTGCAGTTCCCTCTCAATATCTGATAACTACCGTCTCACTAACTATTGCTCTTTTTCCTCCAAATCAATGCTAAAACAGACTGGATTTAGAATTGCAGAAAACATCAGCTAAGTAAGTATTAAGCTGCTCCTTGTTAGCCATGTTAGTTATTGCAAAAAACTGTTGATTTGCCAACAGAATTTTGCTCGTTTAAATCTGACAACTAAAATAACAGAAGCTGAAACTTTTTATCAAATCTTATTATGGGACCAGCAAACTTTCACTCGTACTGTCTAATATATTATCATGTAACAACCTGACTGGCATGTGTAAGTGCTATATAGAAACTAATTTGTTCAGTAATAAAGTATAGTTTGAAATATATGTTTTTTTGTTTGTTTTGTTTTTTTGTGGATGGGTCTTTTTAATTAGTTCTTGAAAAAGTGACCAGGTAGAGCCAACAGATCAAGTTCCAACTGTTTCCAAAAACGAACTGTATTTCCATATTTATTTACATGTTACACAGCAACATGTAACATGTTTAAAGACTTTTTTTTTCTTATTTCACATGCAAAAAAATGAAGTTGTCTTTCTCCAGACATCAAATATTTGTCATCTTTCACAGAAAGCCTTTTGCAAATCTGTTGCACACTTGTTAAAAATAAATGTAAGAAAAATATCTAAGCTGCAAAGACAGCATCAAAGGGATTAAACCCCTGGAGCACACACCATTTTCACTCTGATGGTTGTTATTACAAGGTGCCAGACTGATTTGCATTTACTTCCTTTAAAACAAATTATAGAAAAAGAAGGCATTGACACATAGATGCAACAATTTTTTTTAGTTTTAAACATTTTAAACATCTCATCTTTGAGATTTTCACAACGAAGGGATTTTTAGTATATTCTCTTGGATGATTTAGCTTATTGACAAGTAGCTGAGAAGTCATCTTTTTGTAGGAAAGGTGTGTTTTTCAGAAAAACATGATTGAAAATTGTTGGTAGACGGATCAGAGTGTGTTTGACTAAAGCCAAGCCATGTGAGTTGTGCCGTTTGGAGAGTAAACCAAGTTTTAAAATAGTGTGCCGGGTTGCAGAACAAAATGCAAATTTCCGCAACAAATGTGCACTGTTTATGGTTTCACTGCAGTTTCTTTTATTTCAGCTGAAATCATAAAAATGTCAGATCTGACACATTAATCTTTATAAGTGTGAAAGGAACAGCTGGACAGGTACCAATGACATCATACACGTCACAAATGTGTTGGCCTGAGAGTCGGCGCAGATGGTGTTTTGACTTGAAGAAAATTATATAAAGTTCTAAGAATAAAAATGTGAGCATATGAACTATACTGTAACTGTTTTTTTTACATATCTTAATGCCTGCCTTTATCTTCAACTTCCACAGAGTTATGTTATTTTAACAAGACAAAGGTGCGCTGCTGTAACTTTTCTTATTTAACTTTGCTTTTTATTCTTCCTCACACAGGGTGGATAAGGGGAATTCAGCTGTTTGAGAAGACACCYGTTCTCTCCCCGCATTTGGCCATCCTCCCCACCGCAGCATGCCTGAAAGCCTGCAGCATGACACGTACGACACGTGGTTGTTTACAAAACACCGAGACGTAAATCAGAAATGAAGATGCTGTACTGCGAGAATCAGACAATTGTGCGCTCATCTGGAAGAGTTCCAAACCGAGGTGGCTCCACTGACGGCACCGTAATGCTGTTTTTGAATAGTCGAGACGGTCACTGTGCTATGTTTACTGGTTTACAGTTATTGACATGTCACCTAATTAGGTTCATTTTTTTTTCATCTTCAATATGGATGCTTACTTGTGTGTATTTAATGTTTCCAATTACTCCTTATAATGTTCATGTATTGATATTTATTAATAATTGTGTATTTTCTAAAGCGAGAGTAAAAACTTAACACTCAAACTAAAGTTGTTACATCCCTAAAGTTACATCCCATCTGCTTCCAGAGTCTTGGACATCAGTGATATTGTGCTGCAGTAGAACACTTTGAAGTCTGTTAGTAAAATTTTCTCTATTTAGACTGTAATCTTGGTTGATGAAGTTCCACTAAAAAGGTATAAAAACATTGTTTTCTAAAGAGCAAGCTGTTCTGAGAAGACTACAAATCATGAAAGTATTTCAACATCGTGTGAATTAGCAAAAAATCAAAGTTCTCGTTAGCTGAAGTAAGAAATCAGAGACATCCTTTCAAGTGGATTTGTCCTTATTTCATCCAGCATTCCAAAACTATTGCATGTTTTATAGTAATTTCCATTCAAAATACTCAGCTCTCAAAAACAAGAATGTAGCATTTACAATGTATCTTGTCATGGTTGTGTGCGCACAGATGAGATGACTGTTAGGATGAAATACTTTGATAGTGATAGAAGTTTGGAGGTCGAGCCTTTTTTTTTTTTTTTGTTATTTGTACGTGTCTGTGGCTGGCACAAAATTCATTCGTTGTAAACTACATCAAATTGTTTCTCATTAAAATGTTTTTCTTTCACAGTTTCTGCCCTCTTCTCTGTATTTGAGTTGCACTTTAGCACAAAAGGAATAACCCCCGAAGGATACGGGCTCAAAGGATCCAGTTTGGGTTTTTGTAAAGAAATTGACACCAACTACAAAGTTCAACATTGATCAATTTGATCATGTAAAATGTGGGGAATAACTTGAGGCATTTGTCTCTGCTAATAAAATTAAGTTATTTAATCCATTGTTTAGCTTTATTTTAAAAATAACATTAACATTTCATAAGTCAAATTAAGTTTTGTGAGAAAGTTATAAATTCTGTATTGTGAGGTGATCACACAACTGGATTATCTGATCTTGATTCAGCTCCGACACCAATCAGGTRGAAAAAAAGCTTTTCATCATCGGCTGGTAACCAACGTAACTCTTCACCAGCAGTAATAAACATTTGACACCTTAACAGTTAATAACCACAAACCTCTAAGGTTAAAAGGTCTCAATGAATAATTGAGTCTCCAGCAGTTACAGCCCAGTTAAGATACTGACTTAAATGGGTGACTGATCTCTCAACAATCCAAACCTCCTTCAGAAAAGAGCTCCTTCAATCAAAAATGGTGTAGTTTCAGCTACGTTGAAGCTGGGCACCACTGAAAACAAGCAAGACATTTTGGAACCAGGCTTAGAAAACACTGGGAATATGTCTACAAACGTTAAATTTGACAAATGTTTTTATGTCTGCTTTTATACTTTTGTTCCATGGGTGGGGTGGGGTGGGGTGGGGGGGTTTCTGGACATTTGAAAACTAATCTGATCATGTTAATCGGTTAGGGCCGCCCAGCTAGTTTATAGCAAGTTTTGAAGGTTTAAGATTTTATTTTTTTAATACAACCGTAAAACCTCAAAAAGCAAGTATAGTACAACAATTTCAGCTAGGATGGTGATACATTTAATTTTTAAATAGAGTTAAATATGTTAACAGACTTGTTCCAAAAGTATTGAGCAAAGGAATTTTAAAAGCTAGCAGAATGCACAAGACAAGTAGTCATTGTAGATTAAACCAATAAATAGATAACATGGATTTTCTTTCTTATTTAGAGGTCATCAGATAGACATTAGTTTGTCAAAAGCAATCAAACTAGGGATTTTATCTGTCAATAACAAATTATTTGAACTCTGAATACCAGTGAAGAAATTTTGTAACCGATTAATTGAATATTAGATTCAGTTTTGTATTCTCTACTTTCTGATCATTTCAGTCTGAAAGGTTGAAGCTGACAAAGAGTTGGTGTGTTATCATGTGTTTTTTCTCTTAGCCTTGTCGAGTCCGTCCCGGTTCAGTTTTGGCTTGTCAGCGGCTGTTTCCCTCCGTCTCTCCCCGTCTGGTGCTGCTCTCCTGGGTTGATGGAAAACCAGAGAGGACGTCCTCCTGCAAACTTGTTGACTGTTAAAAAACTCTTAAAAAATGACGCTATCTCAGCTCTGGACAAGGTTTTATTAGCGAGAGTGAAGGGAACATGTCATCACAGCGAGATGGTAAAATGGACTCTGAACAAAGGGCGCGCTCACGCTCGGAGGCGCGCTCACATTCTTAAAGGCACAGTACACCACATAATCCCCCCTTCGATTCTTCAGAATCGACAAATAACCAAACATCCATACAGCTC